GCACCATTACAACAGATGTGAGGATATCCAACTGGTGGTGAGACCTATACAATTGCATCAGCATACCTGCCAACCTGTCAACTCCTTCCTGAGGTTAGGCATTATCACATAACAGATTAGAATTTTAAATGAACTGAGGGCTCATTTAAATACTTTTTCATCTATTGCATGGTATTGCCTGACATCAGGAAGGAGTAGGCAGGTCTCAATCAGTCAGTCATATATGAACCCACAGCTACTTATGCACCGTATGTACAAGAAAATATACCAAAAACCGAATAAAAACAATGTGTCTGAGGATGACAAGCATTCTCTTTGGAGGCTGGCTTGGTCTGATGGTTGGTATCCACAGCACTGATGCCATCTGCATGAGCTGCCCACAGGGATGGATATACCACAATCAGTCTTGTTACATCAAGTTCTTTGATGAAAAATTCAAAATGTCTTGGCTTGATGCTTACAAGACATGTACCAGCCTTGATGCTCAACTTCTTGTTCTCAAGTCCAAACAAGAAGCAGATTTTGTCAGGAGAATGGCCAAAGAACATTTCTCTGGGACTAAATCTCCTAAACGAATCTGGCTGGGCTGTAAGGAGATAGATGGCAGGCGGGTGTGCTCTGATGATAACCAACAGCAGCTAGCAATGCTTGACAGTAAACAGACATGCACAGCCTGGAGTCCCTTCACTTCAAGGTTTGACGAAAGATCTTGTTCAGAAGGAAAACGAGTTGTCTGCGACAAACAACTGTACAACACATACACTCACTGTCAACCTTTAATCAAGCAAAATGCTGGAAAGACCACACCCTACTGCTTGCTGGGCCACACCTACGTGGTCATCCCCATCAAGCATCCCATACAATGCTGCAAGGCCTGCAACAAGGATCCCAACTGCCGCTCCTTCAACCTGCTTGGGAAGATGTGCCATCTTAACAATGCCACCATCTCCCAGGTTGATGGTGACGAGTTTGTTACTGAGGAGAGCTGTGCTCACTACCGCATTGAGTGATTTCCAAGTTTTGTGATGTTTCCAGAATGATTTGTAAACTGTGAGTCACTGATTCAATATTGTCAGTTTTTCAAACATTACGTCAAGGAACAAGCTTAAAAGAGTGTACCAGTACTACCTACAACTGAGTCATCAGCTTTGCCTATGAACAGCGCAAAGTCACTAATATCTGCAATGTCTAGAAATCAACTACTCTTAGACTAGAACCATATGTCCATGTACAAAATCAAAACTGTTCACTGCTCCATTTAACCCATTAAATTTCATCAGACGCAAAATAACTTCTGTCCATAGGCTGCAAAGAGATCTTTCCTCAAATGACTGACGTTCAATTAAAAGAGTGAACAGGAGGCATTCATCCAATTTTGAAGGACAGTGTGGTCCTCAAAACCGCTTTCTGCTTCTTAGTCTTCACAACAAATATCAAACCTTAATTACATGTACCTGAGGGTACTGTTTGTTTGCCTGGAAAAAATTCCAAACAACAGTTAAGTTTTCTCACTGGAATTGAAGTCTGTGGTTTAATTGAGAGCTATGATGCAGTGACTTCTTCCTGACATTCAGACATGCCTGCTCAATGCTCCATACAATGTGCAAGACCTTCAGGAGACAAAGACAGCCAGTTTTATTTGGAGCATAACCAATCGCCAGTTAATTAGATGCTGCAACACACCAAAACATGTACCAGATGCCTCAGACACTGGTCATTCAAAATATTGTAAGCCTATCATAATATGTCATGAGGAGGTTTCCATGCCAACTGTCTCACAGCAAATCAAAACAACCTTTAATTGAGGGGAGAAAGTGAAGAATCGTCAGTCCCGTTAACTGCTCATACAAACGAGACATCTGGGAATCCTCTCTGCGCTGAGATTCCAAAGCTGACTTTTCAAGCAAGTAACAGAAAATTTAATGGAAATCAGTTTTCTACTTGTTTTCTTCAGGCTATTTTTGTAGTTCGACACATGACATCAATTTATCTAAACTGCCAGATTCACTGATTACAAAGCCTGCTGCACTTGGACCCACCTGCTCATGAACAACGTACTGGTATTAAGTATGGTTGCCAAGACGCTAATGCCACAAAAGAGGCCAGCGTAGCTGAAGCAGTTATAATCCAATTAAGGCTGCACCAATCTATGATTTATGCCGAGTTAATATTGGGAATATATATTAAAACCTGCAGTATGCTGTGAGGTTTCTGTGACAATCTACCATTACAACAGATGCAAGGAGATCTAGCTGGTGAAGAGACCTGTGCAATTGCATCGGCTAATTATACACTGTATGTACTAGAAAAGATACCAAGAACTGAATAAAAAAGAATGCTTCTGAGGATGACAAGCATTCTCTTTGGAGGTTTGCTTGCTCTGATGGTTGGTATCCACAGCACTGATGCCATCTGCATGAGCTGCCCACAGGGATGGATATACCACAATCAGTCTTGTTACATCAAGTTCCTTGATGATAAATCCAAAATGTCTTGGCTTGATGCTTACAAGACATGTACCAGCCTTGATGCTCAACTTCTTGTTCTCAACTCCAAACAAGAAACAGACTTTGTCAGCAGAATGGCCACAGAATATTTCCCAAAAACTCGCTACCCTAAACGAATCTGGTTGGGCTGTAAGGAGATAGATGGCAGGCAGGTGTGCTCTGATGATAACCAACAGCAGCTAGCAAAGCTTGACAAGGAACAGACATGCATCGTACTGAGCCCTTTTACTTCAAATTTTACTACAAAAAAGTGTTCAATAAAATTGCGAGTTCTATGTGAGAAACAAATGAACTACAAGAAAGGCCACACTCGGTGCCAAGCTGTGATCAAGCAAGATGCTGGCCTGGTCACACCCCACTGCCTGCTGGGTCATGCCTACACGGTCATCCCCATCAAGCATCCCATACAATGCTGCAAGGCCTGCTACAAGGATCCTATCTGCCACTCCTTCAACCTGTCAGGGAAGATGTGCCATCTCAACAATGTCACCATCTCCCAGGTTGATGCTGACAAGTTTGTTACTGAGGAGAGTTGTATTCACTACAAACTGAACTAGGTCTTATCAGTGAGTAGTAAACGTGAAAAATTCTCTCGAGTCTGTACACTGAGTTTGAAAACATTTCACTGTACACAGCACAAAGGATGGTGTCAATTTCTTGCCTGTAGGAAATTAAAGTTCCATCCCTAAAAACTGATACTATTTAAGCCTCAAAATGCTCTAAAATATGACACAGGCCTATGTGTATGTATGTAGTTGATGAAACATAATTTTGCGCACTGCTTCACACCTATTTCTGGGGAGAATTTTGTCACTTTCCTCCTTTTTTGTTTTCCCCAAATTCCTTTAAAAATCACATCCTTTGCATCAAAGGACAGTTTAAATAAGATTGAAATATACACCCACATGCACACTTGTGAAGAAGTTGTGTTGATTTGCACTAAAGATAATAGAAATGTTACTTGCACACTTACTTACAATTTAGTTGAAATTTTGTCAAGTTTTAAATGTGGTGGTAAATTTGATAGGAATTCAGCCCCTCTTCATTCCAAGGATAGAAGTGATTTAAATACTAAATGCACATGAGTTTTTCATTCCTGGAAAGAAATTACAGTCAAGGTAAAACTGCACAGATATATGAAATTCATTGTTTTAATGGGACATGTGTGACATGTTATTATTTGTCGTAAAAGAGTTGAAAAAGCCATAAAAACTGCATAGATAGGTGAAATTTGTTGTTAATAATGGGAGATACGTGTAACATTGTGATTTGTTGTAAAAGAGTTTAAAAGCCATCAAAACTGCATAGATAGGTGAAATTTGTTGTTTAATGGGAGATGTGTGTAACGTCGTAATTTGTTGTAAAAGAGTTTAAAAGCCAGAAAAACTGCATAGATAGGTGAAATTTGTTGTTTAATTGGAGATGTGTGTAATGTTGTAATTTGTTGTAAGAGTTGAAAAGCCAGAAAAACTGCATAGACAGGTGAAATTTGTTGCTTAATGGGAGATGTGTGTAATGTTGTAATTTGTTGTAAAAGAGTTGAAAAGCCATAAAAACTGCATAGATAGGTGACATTTGTTGTTTAATGGGAGATGTGTGTTACGTTGTAATTTGTTGTAAAAGAGTTGAAAAGCCATAAAAACTGCATAGATAGGTGAAATTTGTTGTTTTAATGCGAGATGTCTAATTGTTGTAAGTAAATTCATTATTTTAATGGCAGATACCTCTAGTGTTGTTATTTGTAAAGTAAAGAGTTGAAACTCCATGCAATTATATATATCACAGAGAAAACTTGGATTTTGAGACAAAAAGCTGGGGTTCCATCCCTCATTCTTGCAAAAGCTGATCTACTTTAGAGAACCCTCTAACAGAACAGGACCGCTGAAAGTTTAGCCTTCAAGTGTCAATCAGAGGAATGTCAACTTTGTCTTTGCGACTTCCGGGTGTCCCAACTGCATGTCAACCGGGGGACATGAGCAAAACACTAAATGTTTCACATTCCTGCAATGGAAAGAACACTTTCATTCGGTGACAGCTGGAATGATCATTCCACTTGGCTTCACCAAATAAAGTGTTTTCCTACCACTGTGCTTATTTGTGTATTAACTGGCACTGTTTGGTTTCTGAGGCAGCCCTTGGTATAAGATCCCCTGTGACCTCTCAAAGGTCACTGATGATACAGCAATAAAGTAGTGTCAGTTAATACGCATACATGCAGTGGTGAGGTACCTTAGGCTTAACAACACCTGAAGACTACTCATGTGAAACTGTTACTGTGATTGTAATGTCAATAATTGTGATGATTATTGAGCAGTCCCTGAGAAGTACTTTAAAAAATTAACAAACAAAAAAAGTTTGGCTTGGAGGTGATTTCGGTACACTGTGATTTTCAACGTGATTATGACATCCTGTGGGGGCAAGACAATTGCATCGATGCCTGCTAGGAAGAGACAAGAACCAAACTGAACCAAAAGGCGGAGCGTCGACACTTACCTGCCGGCACATCTTGGTCTGCTCCCTAATGGCCTCTGGTGGCACCATGGTAGCTCCAATCTGCTGTGTGATGCCTCCTGCCTCACCGTCTTGGACATGGGTGTGACGGATCTGCATATGGAAAAACCCCGAAAACCACAGTGACGGTGTCATCAGGGATGCGGTGCTACCATGGACACAGTATTACCATGGACACAGCATCATCATGGACATGGCGTTACCATACTTAATCCACTGGAACTTTGCTACACATATCTGTTTGTTTCACGTGGATCTGGATCTCGATCAGAGGTCCCAACGCTGGTTTGCTCCATCCATCAGATGGGTTCTGGTGTCAGTGAACCTACAATGGATTACTGACAGAGATGCGGATCGAGGTGAAACAAAAGGGTCCAGAGAGTCAGAGAGCAACCAGTGCATTACCCTTCTGACATCTTAAACACAGTTAACTTAATTGAAATGCAATTTATATGCACACATGTGGACCATATTGTGACATCAGGGTTTACATAGAATGTTCTGATCCAATCCAAGACAGGGTTTTGCTCTTACATACATTTTCATATACATAAGTCTGTACACAAGCATGACTCATCTTGCAGTCGATAGGAAAAGCGAACACTTTCCGTGAACAAGTCTCAGTAAAACTTAACACTTTGGGGTAACAATCTGTCCAATTTTCCTAGAACTGATGTCAAAATGAGCGCACACCACCAGCAGAAAGTACATGCAGGTTCAATGTGATTACAAAAACTGTTGAAGTGACAGAAAAGAAAATCATATAGACCATCCCCTCCGGATTAAAAATCAACTATCACAACCTTCTCAACTTGAAGAATATTGTTCTTGACCCTCCTATGCTGAAGTCACTCTTTGGGTCATTTGGTG